TCCCTCGAGGATGCCATGTGAAAGGGGACCGTGACGCCTAAGAGGGGGGTGAATTAGGCAACTTAAAAGTCTAACTCTAAACTATGGCTCCTTTTTCTATTCTTAGCAAAACCTATGCAAAAGATAAACTATCTAAATGGCAACTACGGTTTTGCTAGTATGTTGCTATCTCTACCGCAAAAGGAGTTATGCAAACAATGTAAATGCGAAAGCAAAACAGTAAGGTAGAGATATGCAAACTCCCATCGATGACTCCGGTATTTTTACCGAGGTATCGATAAGCGCACAAGCTTCCCCCTAGTCCTCGTTGGAGCCCCTCGCAAGGAATACCCCGCAAGGGCCAAGCTCCCGGGAGAGTAACTCCGTGGATAGCCCCGGGCCTTCCCCATGCGCAAGTGGGTTTCCGGTGTGCCTTCAGGCAAGCCTCTCCCAGACCGCTCCCCGCCGTCTTCACTATCAAGCTTCCGGCCGAACCACCGCGGGCCTTATTCCCTCTGGTACACGGTGGTGGCCACACCACAAACGCAGTTGGTGTGATCTCACAAGATTACATGCCCCTTCGATGTACAACAATGGTGCGCGCAAGCATCGAGTGGTAAAGAGCTATACAAACCTCACTAAACACTAGGCCTAAACCTAGAGCAAGCGCATAAGCGGTGGTCTAATCAACCGAAGCACTTCGCAAAGCACCTACGCTAATCACCTAATGAATCACTAAGCACTATGCAAGTGGAGATCACTAAAAAGGTGTACCAACACCCTTGGTATGTTTCCTCAGCTCCACACATGTCAAATATCCGGTTGGGGGTCTATTTATAAGCCCCACTGAGAAAGTAGCCGTTGGGGACAAAACTTAATTTTCTGCTACTGACCGAACGCTGATCACGTCCTGACCGGATGCGTCCGGTCACTCACAACGGTCACTTGGTCTTTGGCGCGATCAACAGATCAGACGTTGATGGCGTCCGATCAGATGCCACCGGACGCGTCCGATCGCAACTGCGTCGCTCTAGAACCTCTCTGGACTCAATCGGACGCTGCACTTCGTGTGTCCGGTCGTCTAGTCTGCTACGTTCAGTCACACTGAAAACACTGCGGTGGCGATGAATAGTGTCACCAGTGCGCCCGATCACTGCTTTGTTCAGCGACCGGTCACTGTTGCTCTGCGTCCGGTCACAGCTGCCGACGCCTGGTGTTGCCGAGCACCGGTGCATCTGATCACTCATAGAGCCGCATCCGATCACCTCTGCCGGGCTCGTTTCTTCGTGATCTTGCGTCCGGCTTGGTTCCAATCTTCGTGCTTGGACTTTGTTTGACCTAGTATATCTTCTATGCATCTTCACATGTCTTTCTTGAGGTGTTGATCATTGGATCATCACGCCGCCTTCATTCAAATCACGTTTTGCATCCTATTGAACTACAAAACAATCACTTGCAAATCCATTAGTCCAATTTGGTTGTGTTGGTCATCAAACACCAAAATCCAAAGTAAATGGGCCTCCTCCGTTGATCAGCTCGATGAAGCACATAACGTTGCCCTCCTTCGCTCGGCCAAGTACTAGCAAGCATTGCGTCGGTACCACGGCCATCGAGTGCGGGGTTAGGCCTTTAACGTCGGGGACTTGGTGCTCCGCCTCGTCCAGAGCAACAAGAACCACCACAAGCTCTCTCCGCCGTGGGAGGGACCGTACGCCGTTGCGGAGGTGCTCCGACCGGGCACCTACAAGCTCAAGACCATCGACGGCAAAGTCTTTATCAACGCCTGGAACATCGAACAGCTACGTCGCTTTTACCCCTAGCCTATGCATGTACTTGCGGAAATTAAGAATGATGTTTCTGAAATGCGAAAACATTTTTTCTTATCGGTTTCGCTATTTGTCTCCTTGATCTTCAGAGACACCCGACCCCAGCAACGGCAAGGGGTCGGGCCTCACTTGGGGGCTGATAGGAGTATATCAACCCAAAAACATTCTCTGCGCTCGATCCTCTCTTACGTTAAGATCTAGAAGCAAGGGCTGCGAAAACAAACGCTGAGTAAAACTGGTCGGACCGTAAGAAACCTACGCCCCAACGGCTACGGCGTTTTTGCTCACTAGCGTGATCAGAGTTTTTTCGCCCGCACCTCGAGCTTTATAGCCTTAACTACGGAAAGGGTCAAAAAGCATTAACCTTTTTTATACACAAAAAAGGGAGAAGAACCAAAAGTCTGTTCAGCCATAACAAAAGTTAAAAACTTGTCTACTTATTACAAGTTCGTCGCCTGGCCTATCTAACTAACTAACCCCTCGGGGGAATGACCTCATCCTCGATCTTAACAGATAGGTCCTACGCCAGGGGGCCACCGACTCCTCGATCTCCTCCAGCTCGGCCTCGGAGTAACCGGACGCGAAGCCCTGACTCATCGTCGCCAGATCGATGTTCTCGTAGTGAGAACGAGCGATCACAAACGACCGATGAACGCCAAAGCGAAGCACAAGAGCGAGGGCAAGAGATCTAAAGCATTGGTGGCGGAGAAGCGGAGAAGGCGAGGCTGCAGTTAGGCGTACCAAAGGGCAAAGGGAAAGGCCACTATTTACGAGGGAAGGTAGAGCGAGGGGGAACCGTCCGCCTAGATTGATGCGCCACCACCAGCTGCTCCTCGAAGGGCGCGTTGGACAACGGTTCACCCCTCATTGGGCCGAAAACCGCCGCAGGTTAGAAGGGATACGGAGCTAAAAATGCTCCCACGGTCTATTAAGGCCCAGGAGTTCGAAGGTTGGCCCACCGACGGGTTCACAACTGCTTCCAGGGGCACCTTTAGAGTGAGGGGTGGTAAGGGATGGGCCCGCTAGCGGCCGATACCTGGGCACACGAGTGCCACGGGCATCCCGGCCCATGTTCGGGTCTTGGCCGGAGCACGGTCCATGGTTTTTCTCCGAAGAAAGGCAACGAACCCTTGGGACCGGTCGAATGGACCCAAGGACCCAAGAACTATATGGATTGGGCGCCAGGAATCTGGAGTCGGTCACCAGCTGACCCATGCCGGACCCCCGTGAACGGGAAGCCAGGGGCCCACTCGAACTATTCCGTTAATAGCTCACCGAGTACCATGATTCGTCCATCGAGAAAAACATAGCATGGCTTAGCCCCTCCATTTTATCAAAAAAAACGCTTGAGGGAGGACGACCACAAGATGAGCTGACCCATCGTCCGGACCCTCACTACGCGCGGGGGCTCGGGGGAAGCTGGACTCGCAAGGATACTGAATACGCGGTCGCATGACAATGGCGGATCGATCAGATCCTAGGGTGGGATCGCAATCAAGAGAGATCTTTTCCGACCCCCCGAATCCCGCAGCTGCATGCTCCCGAAGAGTCCGAACGCGACGAAAAAGAATCGCGACCCTACCAAGACATCCCGTGGCCCACAAAGAAAGATCAAAACCCTCAGAATCCTTCCGTCTGAAAAAGCCTTCGAAGGAGTATCCTACTCCTCCGCAGGCTCGGGGGCTACTGTCGGGTATCAGTTTAGGGATACCTGGAAGAAAGAAGCTGATGGTCGTGAACGCTAACTTGCCCGGATGGTCAAGAGCATATTATGGTCTCGCCTGACCCCGAGGGTGCGGACTCCGTGTCGCCCGACCCTGAGGGCGCGGGCTCCATCACGCTTGACCCCGAGGGTGCAGGCTCCGTCGCGTCTGACCCCGGGGGCGCGGTCTCCATCACGTCTGACCCGAAGGGCGCGGGCTCTGTCTCGTCCGACCCCTCGGGCGCGGACTTCGCCTCGCCAGACCCCTCGAAGGAGGATTCCGCCTCGCCCGACGGGGGTCCGTACCACCTCCAACCACTACGAGTCTAAGAGTACGAACCCAGGGTTAAACTTCTGACACCAGAAAGGGAGTAGGCGCGTCTTGACGTGACCCACGGCCACGACGGGCCATACCTGAGGACTCACGTCGCCAACAGTGTCGGGCGTGCCGGCACTATGCTACTTAATCCTCGTACGACTTCCGACGAGGGTATCTGCTAACCATGCCGCCCGCCGAGACGGAATGGAGCGCCACGACCGGCTGACGACACCCGCGTATAGCGCCAGTGATGAACATGGTCGCGACGTGGAGCCGCCCCCGTCATCATCTACAAGACCGACGGGACCAGCATAAAGGAGATGAAGAGCCCCACGACCCCGGAGGCCTTCTTCCTCTCGCTTCTCTCTCTCTCTCGTGTAAACTGCGCCTTCCACTTCATCTATAAAAGAGAAAAGCAGACACCACGACGGAACGAGCTCAACGAGACTCAACTCCGTTCGACCCTTTCAGCAGAGACTTAGGACCTGCTCGCTCTCTCGCCACTTGTAACCCCTACTACAAACTCACCTCTCTCGCCCGTTTATAACCCCTACTACAAATTAGTGCCGATAACACGAGCAGCAGCAGACTAAACGTTGAGACATTCCGTCCAAACCAGTATAAATTCTTGTGTACTCCGAGCACACCATCCGGAGCAAAGGCGCAAATCACAAATTTACTAGTATCTTGGGAAGATAACTCAAAACACATTAGTACTAGCTATTTAAATGTACCTCGATTCTATTCTACAATATCAACAGAGTCATACATATGCGGAACTCATCATTGATAAATCGATAAAAAAAATCAAAAGAGCTGAAAAATGACTACACTTCACACGGAAAAGGCAAGGAAACAACCAACAAAAGGGTGAAATTCCCTGACAGATCATCAGGCAGAGCGTTAATAAGACAGCAGAATATAAGTATATAACCACTTACTAAACCCCAGATACCAAATCTATGTCATCTGCTACATCACAACAGATATCAAAATAGAGTCTCAGGCTCTCAGCACAGCAACACACACTACATGATGACCAATATAGTTCAGATTTCAGAGACAGGTGCATTTGACAACTAAAACAAAACAAAATATTGTAGTAGTTCCCATTACAGTAGACCAATTGACGATTAAACCAGCAGGTGTAACAGTAGCACAAACAACCAAAAATTTAGAGCTTGTCCTCAAACTCAGAGAGAGGGGTCATCTGTTCCTTCAGACCCTTCCTCTTGCGGATATCCAGCACCAGCTGAGCAGCCTGGGAGCCAGCCTCCAAAGGATCAGAGCCCATCATGTCCCAATGGTCAAAGACACACTGGGGGAACGCCTGACCAGAGGTTGCAGCCCTCAGTTGGCTGGAGAACCCAAAGGACTCGATGACAGGGAGGTAAGCCTTGATGTTGTAGAGCGGGGTACCCGGCCTCTGCATCTCCTCGAAGACGTGCCCTCTCTTCTGGTTCAGAACACCGTAGATACCACCAAGTGCATTTTCTGGGGCCTGAATCTCCACCAGGTACACTGGCTCCAGCAGCCTTGGCTTGGCCGTGAGCTGAGAAGCATAGATGACCCTCCTGGCAGTTGGAATGACCTGGCCACCACCCCTGTGGATAGCATCAGCATGAAGAACGACATCACAGACCTCAAAGCAAATTCACATGATGTGTTCTCCTCAGCCAGTGCACCTCCTTTGATGCCCACTGGAAACCAGCCACGACAGAATCCTTGATTTCATTGAGATACTGCACTCCCTTACACATATCAACAACCATGTTTGGGCCGGTGGTCTCAGGTCCAAAGCACCAAATCTTCTTGGCGAGATCCTTGTCCCACCCAAACTCCTGAGAGAGGATCTGGGAGCGCACCTTAGGATCATCATTGGGCCAATGCGGCCATCATCGATGGCCTCAGCAAGACCCTCCTCCAAGGGGCGCCTCCATGTACAGACGGTTGTGCTTGTTGGGAGACTTGCTCATGACAGTACGGCAGGACTTCTCAAGAACGGTTTCCCGGAAGGACACAACAGGAGGGGAAACAATAATTTCAGCACCACCCATGAAGTCCTCCTGCAGATCCTTCAGGCAAATCTCAAGATGAAGCTCACCAGCTCCAGCAATGATATGCTCACCAGACTCTTCCATTGTACAGAGAACCATAGGATCGGACTTCGCCAGACGCTTCAAACCTTCGACTAGCTTGGGAAGGTCAGAGGCAACCTTGCACTGAACAGCAACACGCACAACAGGAGAGACAGAGAACTTCATTGCTCTGATTGGGCATGCATCAACCTCCTTCTCATTAGTGAGTGTAGCATTCTTCGTGATGAACTGATCCAGACCAACCATAGCAACAGTGTTACCACAAGGAACATCCTCAACCGACTCTTGTTTCTTTCCCATCCAGATAACAGTACGCTGGACACTCTTGACATACAGATCCTTCTTCTGGCCAGGGACATAGTTGGGACCCATGATCCGAACCTTCATACCAGTAGCAACCTTCCCTGAGAAGACACGACCGAAGGCAAAGAACCTGCCCTTGTCAGATGCTGGGATCATCTTCGAAACGTACAGCATAAGAGGACCCTCCGGATCACAGTTTCTGATAGCAGTTGCATAGACATCATCAAGGGGTCCCTCATACAAGTTCTCCACACGATACTTTTGAGCCTTTGACGGGGAAGGAAGGTGGAATATCATCATCTCGAGCAGTGCAGTGCTAGCTGGTAGCCACGTTTGCATAACACGCTTCATCAAAGCTTTGCCAATCAATTCCTTCTCATCAGCCTTCATGGTAACATTGAGCTTTTGCAGCATGGGCCACAATTTCTCCTTCTGGTCGTTCATGCAGGTTTTGATGATTTGCTTGATTGGCTCATAGCAGAACTGAACAAATCCTCTCTTGCAGGTAGGAGAGCCTGTGTTCTTGGTGGTCCACTTCTTTGTGGCAGGGTCAAAGAAGTTCTCACCCCAAAGCCTCTCCATCATCTTAGCTTCATCAACTCCAAACTTAGATGCATACATCTTGGCAAAGTTAGTGAGGGTAAAGGCCCATCCGTGCAGGCCAGCAGAAAAAGCAACAGTCCCCTTCTCTGGGTACACTTGGACATCACCAAGGAGCGTATCTTCATATGTTGCCATAATGACATTGGCATTCTCAATGACACGGGAGAAAGTCTGATAAGCTTCCTCGCCCTCAACCTGAAGCTCAAGGAAGCACCTGTCCATCTTGTTCACGGTAAGAACTGGCCTAATCCTCTCACCAAGGGCTTGGCGAAGCACAGTTTCAGTTTGCACACAGACACCTTCAATACAGTCAACCACCACCAGAGCACCATCGGTGATGCGAAGAGCAGCTGTGACTTCCGAAGAAAAATCAACGTGCCCAGGCGAGTCAATAAGGTTGATCAGGTATTGGTTACCATCTCTCTCACCCTTGTAGTTCTTCAGTGACTCATCAGTCATCTCATAGTAAAGAGAGATACCAGTAGATTTGATTGTAATACCACGCTCTGCTTCGTCTGCACGAGTATCAGTCATGCGAACATCGCCAGCAACTTCCTGGGCAATAATCCCAGCAGCTGCCACAAGGGAATCTGTAAGCGTAGACTTGCCTGCAAAGAATTAATAATAGCATATAAGAACGGCGTGGAACTTCAACATGTGCATCGTAGAGTAGTACAATATTAGGGACAGACAACCAAATCAAAAGTTAACAAACACACTAGTAGATCGTAATCTAGAGTATATAATTATTAATAGATATTATATAAACTACAATAACTATAGAACCAGTAGATTAATTACAAGATGACAAAAGGATAAGACCATTTCCTACATTGGGTAAATATCTAAATATAGGTAGTTAACTAGGCCTAAATAGAAAGTGCAGCAAGAAAAGAAACGTCAGCTGTAAAGCACAACACAGAGCTTAAATATTGAAAACACAAAAGTTAATAACACACTTATTACAATCTAAAACATACAACCAATAGTAGATAATTATCTGTGAATATAGGCCTATTTCATACATGGGATAAATATCTGTGAATATAGGCCTATAGTATAGTAGATAATGCAGCATGAATAGAAGCAACAGCAGTCAAGCACAGTACAGAGCTTAAATATTGAAACAGAACAAATCTTGATACTGAAAAGGCTTGAGCAGTGTTCTGAACTTACCATGGTCCACATGAGCAATAACAGACATGTTACGAATGTTGTTCTTTTTGTCCATGATGGCACGGAGCTCTTCGGCCGTGAACTTCACCATCTTGACTTCTTATGAAGATCACACTACCAATGCCAATATTTATTCCTGCTGTGAAGGTATGGGAGTATTAGTAAGAATTTACAACATGAGTACAAAGCTAAACTGAAAACTTTGACACTGACATCAGTAGCAAAGAAGTAATTAACCACTATAGTAGTCAGGAACCAAAGATACACGGAAATTATTAACAATTTCAGAAAGTTGGTAAAATGTTTTAACAAGCATTATTTATCAGGATACATTATAGCATTGTTTACACCACACTTTACAGGATTGTAAACACAAACGCTAATAAAAAGTAAACTGAAAACCATGCATCTTAGTTGCACACAGGGTACAAACTCGGTAAACTAAGATATACAATCAGGACACCACGACTTATTCTGTAAAAAAAACGATCAAAGTAACAGACACGAAATAAACAAATAAATAGCAATTCGGGTTCGACGCGATTACATAGCATACTACTATATACTATATGTATGCATGGATATGGACACAGAATCAGGAGGATGCGATTTTTTTTTCAGAAAACATGATACGGGGACATAGCAGGAAGATCAAAATTGTCCTATATTCTAAAAGCAGTTGCAACGTAGCAGGAACATAACAATCGCCCTGTATTCCAGCAATCGTGCCGTTTTGCTCTTCTTCCAGATCTGCAAACCAGCCAAGGTTGACCTGTTGTAGCTGCTGGATCCCCGTCCATAATCTTACCAAGTGACCAGATAGACAATTCGAGTACGGAATAAGGGACAGTAAAGGCGTACGGGAGGGGACAGAGAAGAAACTAGCCGCCGACATGCATCCGGCCTGTAGTCGATTTACCTGGGCTGCGCGTGTCGCTGGCAGCTGCTGCTCGTCGCGGGTGCTAGAGCTCGCTGCCGGCGCCGGATCTCGTCGCAGGCGCGGCGGCGGGCAGGCGGCGGCTGCGGGGTGGGAGAGATGGATGACTGGGGGAGGTGGCCAGAGATAGGGTTTGCTGTGCTCTTTTGAATAATATATATATAGGAGCTAATGGGCCAAACGGTGACTGGCCCATATACTAAAATGGGCCAAGACGTATTGTCCCAGATATGCGATTTTAAAAAAATCAATTTTCCGTATACATCGGGTATGGATCATATATATTTTGTAGTTGTATAATACTACGAATACGAGAGATATTCTGTGAGCAACTAGAATTTATTCTCTCTGTTCCAAATTATAAGACATTTTGACTTTTTCATATACATTATTTTACTATATATTTACTTATTTAGACATGTGCATATCTAAGTGTATGATAAAAGTTATACATCTAGAAAAGTCAAAACAGCTTATAGTTTTGCTCACTAAAAAATATCTTATAATTTAGAATAAAGAAAGTATAAAGTAATTCAACTCCAATACAATTAAAATGCATCAAATAAGGAGAGACAATAGTAGACTTGATTTAAATGAGTATATATAAACAAACACTCCTTGATTAATTATTTCACCGCACTTGATTATAAGAGCAATTGTGTTCAATTCATTTAGCACAATTTGTCTATGTTCATAATTGTTCAGTATAGTTTTTGTCTATGTTTGTCTGCCGGCAGAAGCTTTTATAAACAGACCCAATGTAACATTAGCTAGTACGCTTAGTCATATAAGACAATGCGTATTTGCATAAGCCAATAGGCATAATAGATATGAAATACTGTCACTTCCTTTAGCTCAGATAGAAATAAGAGACCTCTATTATAACATGGAAATGACCATATGTACCAAAATGTAAACAATCAAACATAGTCTTACCAAATGCGGTTTATATGAGGACTATCGAACACCATGACACTACATACGTTTATGTTGATTTGAGTCGTGATGTGTAAGATCTAATAGATGCTAAGGCTAATACAAACAGCCAATTAAACCAAGTGAATCATGCGTCGTAGTGAATCGGTGGTAGTAGCGTAATGGGTTCTAAGTGCGGTGCCTAGTCGCGGAGGGGGAAGGAGAGAAGCCTGTATTTGAGTTGTAGATAGAAAAGACAAATACGTAATAATAAAAAAGGGAAGGAAAAAAGGAAATTGCAAAATAAACGTGTGAAAAAGAAACGGCCCAGCAGAAGTCCACGCTCCGCCTGGGCCGAACAAGAACAACCTTGGGCTGGTTTACCGCCGTCTGCCGCATTTCCCGTCCCGCCTTCACGATCACCCCGCGTGCGCGCACTCTCCTCTCTCGGCTGGGTGGGCTACCGGCCTACCGCCACCGCCGCTGCCCTACGCTAGGTGCCGAGGCCTACATCGATCTCTTCGCCGGCAACGAGCACCCACCAGGTATTCCCACCCCTCCTCCTCCCTTCCCGTTGTGCGAAACCCTGGCTTAAAGCTATTTTGCTATTTGATTGATACCTACTGACTTCGTACCCTCTGCAAAAATCATCGGCCGTACACCACCTATCGACTGTAATCCCTCACTGACAGAGAAAAAAAAGAATGGCAAACATTAGGTTATTTTCCACAATAATGACCGTCATTGTGTATCAACAAACTTCACAATAGATCGTGAGAAGAGCCCTGTTTCCTCTTATGCACATTGCTTAGGATAAGGCGCTTGTTCACAAACACAAATAATGGTTCAGTTGAGGAACAAGTTGACATGTTCTTGAAAGTGGCTGGCTGCAATTGTAGGTTAGGTTGATAGAGGTTAATTTTAGAACGTGTTTGGAAATAATTAGTCGTTACTTCCACGAGGTCTTGCATGCTATTGGAAAGCTGAGATGATTCAATCCCCATCCCATGAGGTCCACCCAAAAATTGCAAACAGCTACAACTTTCAACACAATTGCTAAAAGATGACTCGTTAAAAGCTAATCGCAGTTAAACCAGTGTCAGCCTTTTGAGCCTCATGAACCCCATGATATATTTGTTGAGTACGACATGTACTTACGCTTGCTTTACTTTTAAAATCTTTGGAAAAATCCCGGATGGGTACTAGATTGCTAGAGTTTGGAGGAATTAAGCTTGTGATCGACCAGTCAGTTGTCCCTGTGGAACTAGAGTCTTCACCCGAAGATTGGAGTTATCTTTCCGTTGTTTGCTGTCTAAGGTTATATCATTTATACTAAGTATGTTATATATTGAGCATTGTCTTTCGATATTACCATTATTTGTAGCTATATGTGAGATTTGACTTCCTGGGCTCACATATGGTGCGTATCTGGTTTTGTTCTTAAAACCGGATGCTACAATCTGCCCAGGGAGGGAGGTACATGGTTGTTTATATAGGCCGGAGCGTCCAATGTGAGTTCTTGGAACAAACCGACTTAAAGGACGACGTAGATGCAACCTAGGAGGCGGTGGAGAACCCACATTGTGACGCTGAGGCTGACAGGTGGGCCTAGGGGCCGCCCGACCTGTAGGTGGGGCTGCCCGGTGATTTGCCTTCTGGAATGTTCTAGAGTCTTCCCGCATCGATTACGCGGCGGAATTTCATAATTTCCTTTGACGAATAGGTCCCCCTTGACGGTTTTCTGGATAAACCCTGCTGAAAACACAGATTCACCAAATCTCGTGTAATTTATTAGTTTAAACCCCTATACCTATATTTGGTGATGGAATTAAGTATAAATACAGGTTATATTGATGATTTATAATTGATGTTAGTGACTGTCAACAGTGCATCCACATATGTACTTTGTCGTACAAGTTAAGATGCAAACTTGTTTTATAAAAATTCATACAAAATGACCAATTTCATTTGCACGTGTACTATAAGACAAATTCCTTGGAATTTTGTCTGATAGTGCACAAGCACATGAAATTTGACAATTTCTTATGAAATTTTCAAGAATGAGTTTCGTCTCTGCTTTTGCAATAAGTACATATATATATATACACTATGAATGTGCGTCATTTCAAAATTTCAAAATAAGTATGTTTTCTGTGGAGTTTTCGTGTTTCCAAGAGGTGGTTTGCACCAAATATTTTTTCCTTTAGTTTCTCAACATTTTGCATCCACAATAGTATGTGTATGCACATTATTTGTTTGAAAAAAACAAATAACAGATTTTTTGTTTTACTAGCAAGCAATTAGTCAATACACCCATAATGTTTTTCCCAAGTGATCTTTGGTTTGTCCATTAAAAAGGGATATATCTAGAGGTAATCATGCTTCTTATCCGGTGAGCTTATTGTAGTTATCTAGTAGCTAACCAAAGATATGCAATCTTTTTTAACCCAGATTCAAGCAAAGGGCGGGATCAAAGTTCCCAAATGTTCACTTGTGAATGGTTCAATGGATTGCATCAAGCTAAAGACCTTTGTTTCTTTTGACAATGGATGCCACATCATCTTCACCTCGTCAATATTTCTTTGAGGAAAATTCGATTGCACTGAATGCTTCATCTCATACATATATTCTCCAGTTGTTTGATACATTATCAGTAGCTTTGATATCCTGATGTCTATGACTAATATACCGCCTCGTCGCTGACACAACCAATGTTGTTTTGTAGGTCATGAGCCATTTTGCAACGGATGAAGAAGAAAAGGGGAGACTTAAGGATTTGGCTTCTCCCGAAGGAAGAAAGGATCTCTACCGGTATAATCTAAGGGAGAACCGAACTGTTCTAGAAGTAATGCCTTCACCATACATGGATTTTCCTGCCGTACATGCACATACGTTAGCATGCCAGTAGTGACATGGATTTGTGTTGGTTTATAGGTATTGGAGGATTTTCCCTCGGTGCAAATGCCTTTCGAATGGTTGGTGCAACTAACACCTCCGTTAAAGAAAAGAGCCTTTTCTATATCATCGTCCCCATTGGCCCATCCAAATCAGATACACTTGGCTGTTAGCATTGTATCGTGGTTTTCTCCTTGTCAAAGGAGACGGCATGGTCTCTGCTCTACATGGCTGGCAAAGCTTGGTCCAAATAAAGGTGTGCATTGCTTCTTTTAGTTTGGAAAACCTTTGTCTGCTGTGCTGCATTGTCTTCCTCATGTTCAACCATCAACACAAACTCATGG